CACGACTCACACAGGTTTTTTTTTAGACGTTGCTCAACGACAGTGGTAAACAAAAACTAAATCACTCTTAACGAGGAAAAACAGTAACAAAACTAAATCACTTCAATGAGGAAAAACACTAGGAGCATGAATATATGAATACTTAGACAAGACGTGGCTCAAAGCTCTGCTTGGGATTCTTTCTGGCATGATACGCTGGCAGACTGTCACAAGAAACTAAACGAACTGGCACAGGACAAAGGGAGACGAGGACAATAAATACACCAGGTAATGGGGAACAGGTGGAAACAATCAGGGGCGTGGTCGACAATCACAGGAGTGGGAGACACACAAGGAAGGGAGGTCAGAGTATCTGAAACGAGAGGAAAGGTTACTATTCAAAATTAAAGGGGAAAATCACTAGACAAAGACAAAAAAACTAAATTAACATCATTTGCGAGAGATGACAGTTTGGTTGGTTGTAAGAGAGACGCGTTATGTGTTAATGTATCATTGGTGCTCGAGTTGACTGCCTGAACTAGCTCGCAGGCTTCGTCCCATTTGTGTTGAATATGGGAAACAGGAATGTTCAACGCAACAACAGTCCGTTCTTAGATGCCTTTTTCTTCTAAATATCTTCAGGTTCCACTATCAGGTTCAGGTTCAGGTTATTTATTAGTGCCCGTAGGTAGATTTAGTTTGCAGATAAAAAGGCAAGGGATCCATCCTGACACACATTCTCCAAACAACACAGACAACCGACAAATCTATAATAAAAGTACTTTATTTACCATGCCCCATTACATAAAAACACGAGGACAAACATGGGCGATGGAAGTTGATAAATAAATAAACATCCGTGTGATACTGCTACGAGTTAATCCTTTGTGCGATAGCTGCCGGTAAAAAGCTGTTTTTATACCGCCTTGTTCTACACTAACCTCCTGAAGGAAGACGCTTAAATTCTGAGTGCAGAGGGTGGGAGTCATCATTCATATAGAGCTGGATAACTGCTGTAACTGCCTGAGGTGTATGAGGGTCTCCAGGTTTAGCTGTGGCTCACCAATCAGTCTGCTAGACCACTTCATGATCTGAGTACTCTTAGTGTCAAGTAACAAAATGTTGCTTATAGTACTGGCTATTAAAATAATATAACTGATATTAGGCTGAGGTGAAACCCATATCACAAACAGGTGTATTTTTAAACTTTGATTCCTTCCACTCTACAGTATTTCACTTTACATTAAGTTCTTATTCTTTGCAAATGTACATAGTTTGTGTATTTCTGCATTTCACTTGTACTATTTTTTGCGTCTTAAGCATATTGTATGTTGCACTGTTGTTTGAGCTTGGGACAACTAACTAGAGCTATTGTGGATATGACAATCTGTTTATGATGACCGAAAGAACCCTTAAAGTATACTTTATCTTTCAGTAAGTCCACTTATTCTCTCCACGTACACGAGTGTGTTTTTTTATCTGTAGCCGTGTTGATGCCCGCTTTGCCCAAGGTTCAAAAGGTTTCCCAGCAGCTGTTCATTTCGCCGCCCCCTCTCATGTATCACACTGCGTTGTTAATTATCTCCGCTCTTTAGAGGGTGAGTTTGTGAGAGATGTTTGACTCTCAGGTGCGAGACTGACATGTCCGTCTCATTTTAATTATTCCTGGATGTGGTTATTGAAGTGGGCCTGGCGTCTTTGGCTCAGCTTCACATTGTGGGGGTCAGAGGTCAAGGAGTCTACAGAGAGAGTGATGCCAAAGAAACCCTCCTGATGTTAATGTGGGCCGAACATCACTTCATCATTTATATAGACCTGACCTGAAGAGCAGAAAATAAAAGACAATTTTGAAATGAATTTTCTTAAAGATGTCCTTTTTATACTTTTTGGGGTTTTCCCTTTCTTATAGAGTGTTATTATATTCTCGTGGGTACATAGTTTTATCTTGAGGCGGGGGTTTTCGCTCAGCTGATATCAGCTGCCTGTGAAGACTGAAGATGTGACCTTTTTAGTTTTTATTTCTTATACGAAAGGTTTTGTCCTGTGAGTAATAACCGTGTTTCTCCCTCCAGAGAACTGGTAGCTGGAGGGCGGGTAGAAATCCTGACGATAGAGGAAACATCTGGAAGAGACTTCACCATCGAATCTGAACGAGAAGCCTCAAAGACTCAGTGCATTGAGAGAAACGTATGTTCAAACACACAGACTGTTCTGTTACGAGACAAAAGACCTCGAAGACAAATTGGAGAAAAAAGTTGGGCCTCTTTTGCTCAAAATTTCAGGTAAAGTCACCTCAAAAGTCCTCAGAAAGTGTTAGTTCACTTCACACACAATTTAAAATTATTAGGGCATTTTATTATAATGTAAGATGATTTATTTCATTATCATTGTTATCAACAAATACTTTCATTTTGAAGGCAATAATGCGGTTGTTTTTTTAAAGTAAATATTTATATATTTTTTAATAGTTGTAAATTGGTTTCATCTATAATCTTTGCCTCTTGGGAATTAGTACAAACACAATAATGTAAAAAATGTAATTTAAGTATAAAAAGCATGTACTTTTTTTAGCTGAGGCCTCAATTACGATTAACTTATTACCATTTGAAGTTTATCCGATTGAACCTTAAAACTAGATAGTGTTTAGTCAAGTCTACAACATCTTTCTCTGTAGGATCGATAATGATGGGACATTTAATAAAAACGAGAACAACAATTATGGTACAAAAAATGTGTTTATTTAGTAACAGTTTTGTAAACATTTGAGGTAAATTAACATTTACATCAACTTGTTCTTACAAAAGAATCATTCATACACAAGGCACTTCTCTTGTCTAAGACAGCATTGAGACAGGTTGCTGTGAGATGGTTTCCTCCTGACGAGCCGCAGAAATCTCGCTCGGCATGAAACGTAAGAGGAGAGTTTCCCAGGAGTCACGGGGAACGACGGGCCTTGAACACAACATCCAGTCAGGAGTCCCGTCTGTGAGAACAAACTGCGTGAACACAGAAAAACACCCCTCTGTTTATTCTCTCTCTCCCAATGTAGTTCTAATTTGTTATCTTCAGACTGATCTGAGTTTGAGATGAATAAGTGTTTTAGTTAATACTGCCTTCTCTGTGAGGAGCCGCTTTGTTTTAAGACATGTTTTCCTTTGGGATCATGGAGATTGGCCGTTTTATCGTCACACTCTCTCTCACGCCCTTTCTTTCTCTTTCTCTCTCTCTCTATACTACTACTACCAATATCACCATCGTAGAACAGCAATTTTTCTTTTCCTAAATGTGCAAATCTTTATCAACTACCAAAATGTAAACTTTAGGGATCAAAAACAAATGCAGATAACAGTTTTTTTGTTGTCATTTTGAACAAGAAACATGGATTTGGAAAGGCTGCTTTTACTCATGCGCTGTGTCATTTCAGCAAGATGAGACATTATACCGATATGGGTACAGATACTCTTACACCATATAGTACCATCTTTTTGTAACCCCGTCCCCAAAAATAATACAAATTAAACAGCTGGTACCACTTTGCTCTTTCTCCAGTGTATTAACCTGCACATTAACTTCAGGAAAAATGTTTTTCCATAAAATGCACAAACATCTTAATACTTAATCGCTTTGTTTTGCCTTGTGAACGCAAAATGCCCGAGGAATTGACTTTTTACTTTAAATGTTGACCAAGAGGTGACTCACAGGGTGAAACAGTGGGTTAAGGTGACAGAGACACGACTGCTGCTCAAACTGTGGGTTTCTAAAGATCTCTGAATTAAGATGAACACAACAAAATAGAAGCCGTTAAGGTCGACTGCGTTTGAATTTCTGACTACAACAAGTATGCAATTTCCGAGTAATATTAAATAAATAAAAATAGCACTTTTCAGAGTAAAACCAATGATGAAATGAGTGACGGTGAAAACCCCCAAACTTGCTCTTAATATTTTTGGTGTGATGATTAAAAGGGGGGAATGTTAAAATGTTAGTTTGAAGTCTTTTGTCTGAAGGAATAAGGACAATATTGTTTTTCTTTATATTAGATAATGGCTGCCATGCAGTTGTATAATATCTTAAAGATAGTTTGAAGGCAATATCTCTTTGTGTTAGTAGAGATTTAGTCTTTTAGACATGTGCCTGAAGGCAACGCTGACAGAGGAAGGCTTTTGTAAACTAACAGCAATGTGGAAACGTTTCGATGTCTATGTTATTGAGAATGTAGTGCTTGTAGTTACCCAGGTGCATTCTGGGAATCAAAGGGATTACTTTACCAGCAGGTTTGACCCATATCCTGTCCACAGTATGCTGAGGACTCTGGGAATATCACATCAGTCCATTGCTATCCATTTAATCTCAATTAAATATGTATCGTCTCTGCAGTGGATCATGGGTAAACCAAGCTAGCCAGCGTTGCCATGAGGATCTCTCGGTGAATCGGTAAGTTGTAGGGCTACACATGCTGGCATGCACAGGGAACACAACACATGTAATGTTTGCAGATGATATTTCTTGGTGCGTGGGCAAAAGACCTTCTAGGTCAAAGACAAACGCTGGACCAGGCAGTCTGCTGCAGATTAAACTGTGACACCAGAGGAAAATGAAGAACAAGCTTTATAAGCAAATTGTCTGGCGACACATGGAATAACTTATCTGTACAACAATGCCAGCGACCTGTGCCTCCTCCAGATAAAATAAAAATATCCAGTCATTTTTTTTGACAAATTATCATTTTCATTTGTAGTCCTTTGGGCTCAACAAAAAGGAAAGGAAATAGAGAAACTCCATGAGATCTCCCCCCCCCCCCCCCCCAAACCAAACACGTTGGTGAGATGTGTCGATTTTGATGCAAAACTATGACATCACAATGTCTTTCGCTCCACCAATCCCTGTGAGCTGAGCCTTCTGACTTCATAAGCACTGCATGGTCACATTTAATGTGCATAAATTAAGACAATCCAAAAAAAAAAAACCTACTCTGCAACTCACCGATTGCACTAAATCAACGACTGCTGCTGCTGGTCAAGTCATTTCACATTAAACCTTTTCTCTGCTTCCCTGTCTTCTGTCACCTCGCCTTCTTTTGATTTTTCGTTTTTTTTTGCAGGTATGGGATTTTTATCTCTGAGAATCACTGTATTTTGGGGGTTTGGAGGAAAAGGAGGGTTTCAGGGACATGGAAGGGAGGAGGAGGTTTAGATGGCCAGGTCGCTCGGCCGAGCCCGGATGCTGCTGCTCTTGCTAGCCCGACTGAGCCGCCGGGGGTCTGTGACCATCACTGGGGGCTCGTGCATCTCCACAGTGGTGGTGGTGACGGACCCCTCCTCCTGATCACTCCTCCCCCCCCCCGCTCCAGCTGCCAGCGTTGGACACCGTGCCCTGGCTAATGCTGGAGGAGGAGGCGGCGGTGGAGTTGTGGATGTTGGATTTACTGGTGGTGTTACTGGTGGTGTTGCTGGCTGGAGGAAGCAGAGCTGTGTCCACACTCTGCTGCTGCTCCTTGTCAGTGGAGGAAGAGGAAGAGGAGGATGGGGATGGGGAGGGGGACGTGGCCTTCATCTCCAGAGTCTGCTGCTCGGTGGCCAGGTTGGCCCAGTTCTGCTGCGCGGCCAGCCTGTGGTTGTTGTTGTTGCTGATGTAGTAGTGGGAGGAGGGGGAGGGCTCCTCCTGCTGGAGCTCCTCCATCTTGAACTCCTCCGCTGAGGGCACGGCCGCCGGACCCAAGAAGGCACCGCTGCCCCCCGTCACATCCGTGTAGTTGGGGGGGTAGCTGAGGCTGGAGGGGGCAGTTCTGGAGGCCGAGGGCAAACACTTGGGCTCGGCGATGTTGACGCTGCGCAGCAACTTTCGGTCGGGGGCTGACTCTTTCCTCATGCCCTGTTTAACTTTCTTCCATCCAAGGTGATAGATCTCTAACAAATTCAGCAAAAGAGACACGCAAGCCACCACAAGCATAAATATAATAAAAATAGTCTTTTCCGTGGGCCTGGATATGAAGCAGTCCACGGTGTTGGGGCAGGGCCAACGCGCACACTTGTACAGGGGCCTCAGCTGGAAGCCATAGAGGAAATACTGGCCCAAAATGAATCCCACTTCAAACAGGGTCTTGAAAATAATGTTGAACACATAAGTACGCAGCAACGCGCCTCTGATACGGATTTTTCCGTGCTCGTCCCTGATCGGCCGCTTCTCCTTCTTGCCGCCGCCACCTCCCCCTCCTCCGTTTCTATAAAGGAGTTCTTTCTCCTCCTGAAACCGGTGTCCTTTGTGCGACTCGTCCTCCTTCTCTTTCCGCTTCTCCTCCATGCGGACGATGTGCAGCACATGGCCCAGGTAGATGAGGGTCGGCGTGGACACGAAGATGATCTGCAGCACCCAGAAGCGGATGTGCGAGATGGGGAAGGCCTCGTCGTAGCAGACGTTCTCGCAGCCGGGCTGCTGCGTGTTGCAGGTGAAGTCGGACTGCTCGTCGCCCCACACCTCCTCGGCCGCGGCCCCCAGCACCAGGATCCTGAAGATGAAGAGGACGGTCAGCCAGACTTTGCCGATGACCGTCGAGTGCTCCTGAGCGTTCTCCAGCAGCCGCCCCAGAAAGCTCCAGTCGCCCATGCTTCACGATTTCTAGCCTATGGAGAAAGTACAGGCTGGAGGTCAAAGAGAATGGGAAGGATTGGAAAAGAAGAAACGAAGTTAAAAGACATGTGTGTGAATCTACTCTCAAAGTTCACCTAGATATTAATCATCAAGGCCTTACCCCCGATCTACACATGTGGACACACACATAGACACATGGAGGACGGTGGAGGTGACGACTAAACTCCAACATTTTTCTCTTTTTCATAAAACGCTTAGCAGAACAAGGTCTTTATAGAAAAACTGCTACGTAGGCGTCGGATATCGATAACAAATCTAAACACAGCATTCACACACAGACGCTTTTTGGCAGCTCTTTTACTGTATAGGCCAGCTGTTTGACGAACCCTGGTTCACTCTCCCTTTCTCTCTCTCCCTCTGTCTGTCTCTCTCTCTCTCGCTCTGTCTGTCTCTCTCTCTCTCTCTCTCTCTCTCTCTCTCTCTCTCGCTCTCTCTCTCTCTCTCGCTCTCTCTCTCTCTCACCTGCTCGCTCCACTGCTCAGCAGGCATGTGCTGAGATCAACATTATAATGTTCGAAAACAGCATTTAGCAGCGATGGGGCTCTGGTGTGGCACACGCACACACACACACACACACACACACACACACACACACACACACACACACACACACACACACACACACACACACACACACACACACCACCCTCCCTTCCTCTCGCTGCCTGTCAACTGTAACACTAAAGCCACAGGGATCAAATAGAAATACTTTACTGTAATTACGAATTATAAAGATAATACGATAGTGTATGACAGATTCAGTTTTTAAAAACACCAAATGTGGATATTGTAAATTAAAAAGATTTGCATTGGTCAATACCAATTCATCTTCAAATCGTTTTTTGGTTAATTCAATAACTCAGTCTTTAAAGTCTCATACAAATCCAAGTTAATGTCTTTAAATAGCTACAATTGTTAGAACAGTCCCAAATAAGTTCATAAAAAAGAGAAAATAAGCATTTTAATAGCTGATTCTAGAACATTTGGCCAGATTAATAACTATTAATATGCTATAATATAACTATAACTATATAACTATAAATTAAACAATTATTAATCTACTAATTAACACCTTTTTTTGCACTACATCTGAAATATAATGTCAAAGATGTTATACTAAGTAAACTAAATTTGTACAACAACATTTTCAGTTTTTGGTAACCCAAGTTAGTCTTTATGGGTACATATATATTCTCTGTCCACTTATGGAATATACATTTGATAAATGTGCAAGGAGAAAGGTAGGGCCTGTTGCTATCCTTTACATATTTTAAACACGGAACAAATAATATTCATACAGCAAATTCAACACACAGAGGAGAAACTTACTAAAATATTCTTGAATTAAAGGTAATAAATCCATCGACTAGGGCTCACAATATGTATGACACCTGGAAGAGAAAGAACATTAGTCATTGGACATAAATTAATTTCCTTTCTTTAGGGCTTTGAGTTTAAATAAAACTGAGTATATAAAACTAAAGAATACATGAAGAAGTTCTGTTATTTCTATGAATAATTGATACAAAATCTATCCAGATTACACTAATAAAGCTTCTAGATGATTTCAAGGAATTTCAAAATGGTATGGACATTTTTTTCTTTGAAATACTTAATACAAATATAGTTTTTTAGGATAATAAGTGGTATAATAATAGGGAACACTTAAACCCAGATAGCCATGTACCATTGGCTGATGGCTCAATTATTAGTGCCATTCTTTGACAGATTTCCTCTGAGTTTCACAGGTATTTGAGGCATTTCTGCCGGCTGGTGGTGAATGTTCACAGACAGAGCCAGGTTCAAATACAAAGCCATACCTGCAGCAGGCTGACAATACAGACTGTGCCAGAGCCCAGACTCCCTTTAAGCTTTGTCAGGCTTTTGTGTCCCTTCTTATTGTTTAGTCAAACCGAAGCCATTCTTAATTAACATGAGATAACTCTTAATTGATCTTACTTCACTCAGCCCAGGATATTCTTGTCATGGCAGATTTTATCCGTCATACCTTTAGATCGGAGATGTCATACTTAGATAGGGAAAGCAAATCCATCTGCCATCTTTGGTGCCATCATTTGGGTTGGAAAGTGTGTAGACCTGCAGCGACCCTCCCAACCTGTCGCTTCTCTCTCGGCTTTTTTTTTTTTTTTCTTCAAACCCTGCCTCTCAAACTCTCTCGTGCACAATCGTCTCCGGTCTCGCTCTTTTGTCCCCGGTCCGGTAACTTGCGCAAAAGAAAAAGTTGTCCTTTTGTTGTTAGTTTTTGGAGGCGGCTTGGAGTCGGAGATGGGGCTCGGTCAAACGGAGCTGCCTCCCGTTTCCAGCCATGTCTGGACTGTCACATTGTGTGACCATGCATGAGTGAATCCACAGAGTCATCAGCCTGTCCGGTGACACACCACGCCCCTGACAACCTCCCCAAAAACCTGCCCGAAAAGTGCGCAAAAAGGTGCCGGAAATGAGCCTCCAAAACTTTCCCGCAATTTTTACAAAACTTTGATGTGGTATCCCGGGACAAACACTTGAAAACACAACCAAACGTTTAAGAAACCACATACAAAAATCATCAATGCTGCGTTTAAAGTAGGACAATGTTATTATATTACTTATTTAAAGGGGAAAAGCATTATAAATCAATCATAAAGTCACGATTAATCGATCAAATCCTATTGAATTGACCAAATTTGTAAAAAAAAAAAACCGTTACTTTGAGAGATTCATGAAAACATGATATTGCCTGAAAAAAGGACAAAGTGAGGATAATGCAGTATTCTCTGATTATAATACAATGTTAGTGCATCGTGCATCACACACACACACACACACACACACACACACACACACACACACACACACACACACACACACACACACACACACACACACACACACACACACACAAATAATTCAATGATCAAAGTGTGAGTATGATGAAAACATCTCAGGTACAAAACACAATTACAAACATTTTTTTTATTTCGTGCTCAGAAAAAACTGTCTTGTTATTAGTACGTTTGTTTGCCGTTAAAGCAGACTACTACAGAGTGTGTAAAAACATCTGGATACAAAATGTTATAATCTTAAAACATCCCCTAAAAACTCATCGTTGCTATCACAGTAAATGTTGCATCAAAATGTAATTTGGCTGTTACAAAAAGCAAGAGGTTAAAGGTCAGTGGAGAGCAGACACACAAACACAACAAATGTATTTTAACTCACACTTTTCTGTCAATCTACATACAGAATACTTTGTCTGAAATCATGCATGACTTGGCATTTCTTTCTTTTCCGCTCAAAACTTTTCCTGCTTACAAAAGTCACCCTAACTCTTCCTGCTGTAACTCCATAACTCCATAACATGTCAACAAATATGAATACATTGACCAAATTGTCTCACATATCCGTCATCCAATCGTTTCTAACCACAATTCTTCGTCCACACAACACAGATGTGACTAATCCAACTCAGCTATTCCTGGATGGGGAGGGAGGACAAAGACATTTTCACTTTGAGATCGGCCGTAGTTCGTCACGTTAAGAGGCCGAGCGGTGATTAGTGCTGAGGCTAAAATAAGGCACAGGCTGAAAGCTGATACAGCCAGCTGGGGTCACACTGCGGCAACAACACAAATCCAAAATATAACAGGAGGATCTGAATGTCAGGGATGAACAGGACAACTTCTGGACTAAGTTTTTCAAACGTTTGATTATTAGCTTCAATGTTAACTTGAATATTGAGGAATCAGCCGATGATAATATAAATTATAAGTAATCTTATAGGAATTTTTGAAGTTGAGATCCCAAATGATGATCCTAGATTTGAAATACAGTCTTGGAGAATAACAACATCTTCAGAGGGCCAAAGAAATGTTAAAAAAAAAGCTAAAATATTGAGTGAAATGTCTTGAAATTTCAAAATCTTCATGAACATTAAGCATCTTGAGACTCAAAGCAAGATTTACTTTGTTTTAACACCATTTAGTATTTCTAAATGTATCATTTGAGTATTGTTGCCACTTCTTTTAAGACTTCGATATCCAGATTTGCATGAATTATGCAATATAGTAACTGCACTTTGTGACTCAAGAATAACAGCATCTTTAAGAGTCCAAACTTATTTAAAAAAAATATATGTTATCACATGGCGTGCATTTGTGAAAATAGGCAACACATTTTCAGTGTGTTTAAGTTATTTAACTCATGTGACGACACACTTCAAACACTTTCAGTTCAAGTAAAAGACAAAAGACATTCTGATTGAACAGCATTAAATCTGTACCGTGGTGTAAAATGTCATCGTGTTATATTGAAGTCAGCATAATCTTAACCTGTGCAACACACTTATCTGTAATTATAAAACACAAAAACTCTAAAAAGTTATTCAACTATGAATTTTCAAACTGCAAGCTGCAGTCACTTGATTCAATACAAACTGCTTTCATCAATTACTGTAAACACATGTCAAATATAAGGTCAGCTCTTGTAAACTAGACACTAAAAATTTAATCTCAAAGGCACTTTTTGCTTCACTTTTCATGACTTCATTGGTTCTCCTTCCTCTTGTTCAACATCCTTCAGGCTTTAAGGACAGTGTTTGTGCTCTCAGGGGTTTCTCTCAGAACCACTAGATGTCAGTGTCGACCCAATCTTCTCTGCTTCAAAACATTAAAGCAACTTCAAACTGTTAACAATAAATTAAAAACCTTCCATACAACTCTATCAATCATCCACTGCGTGAAAAGTAAGGTGACACTTGTGATAATGTGGATGATCCGCATATCCAATATTTTTTATGAAAATACTACCTGAAACAGGCTCTTTAAAAAAGGAACACTTCACCCACAAAACGGTCATTTGTACATCAATTAATCTCCCTGTGTAACCTTCAAATCTTGAAGAAAATGGGATTTTTCTTGCATGCTTTTACAGTCAACAAACGCTGGAAAAATCTGGATGAATGGAAGTAAATGGGTGCTGCATTGAAAAACTATATCAAACCTTCAGTCAAAATCTCTCATACAACGCATGAAGTATAATCCAAGTCTCAAAAACATGCATTTTTTGGTTAAACATTACTATTTAAAACACTGTTGCAGAAATTGTCTAGCTCGCGTCGGCTCACTTCTTGTATTTTAAAGTGTTTTGATTTTATTAAAAAAGCATGTTTTAGACGTAATACACACACAAACGGATGAATGAGACGTGGTTCATAATGCATGGGTTGTATCAGAGTTTGTAAACGGATGTCTGAGACAGATTGCCAATGTTGACTAAACCCCCATTTACTTCCATTGATGCACATTTTCCTTAGTTCTTTAAATCCAGGTTTACTGTAGTTCTTCAAGAATTGAAGGTAACAAAGGGTGAGTAGTTGATTACAAATGATAATTTAGTCGGTGAAGTGGCTCTTTAAGTAACACTCACTGGTATCCTACCAGATTTAAAATGACACTGTTACATGATCCATTCATTTATATCTTTTGTTCATCAGGGAAGACTGCCTTTAGTGGCACATTAGAGCCAATATGTAGGACAATGTAGGAAATATGCACATGATACAGTGACTTCCCGACACATGGGGGTTGGAGGTCGGCTACATACGCTGCTGTCTACCTAAAATAATCTCTGTTCTGGTATTTCCCGTCCTCAAATCTGCTTCACAAGCTGTTACACCTTCTGGATGCTCATCTTTAGAGCCTCAATACCAAACTGTGGACACAGACCGTGACCATTACAGATGTTTGGATTTACAGTTTATGCTTCTGTTCTTCTCTAACACCGCCATCGTCCTTCAACACATCTTGTTGCTGGTGGAATCTGTGCTGGAGGACAACAGCATCTCGTTCTTCTTGTTCTGCACATTGGCATTATCCCGCATCATGTTGTCCGTGTACGCCAGTCTCCTCTTTTTGCCCCTGGCGGAGCACCTCATCAGCGCCTTGGCGATGAGGTAGCTCAGCTCGGCCACGTTCAGCACCATGCAGATGGCCGACGAGGACACCATGAAGATGGTGAAGACGGTCTTCTCCGTGGGCCTGGAGATGAAGCAGTCCACCTTGTTGGGACACGGCCACTGCTCACACTTCACCAGCCGGGGCATCTGGAAGCCGCCGTAGACGAAGTACAGCGCGTACATGAAGCCGCCCTCGAAGATGAGGCGGAAGAACAGGCTGCAGGTGTAGGTCCACCACAGAGGGCCTGTGATGGGCAGCCGCCTCCTCTTCAGCGTCTCCAGGTCCATATCCGTCAACTTATCGGTGCCGTTGGAGGACAGCATGGTCCTCTTGTCCCCACGCTTCCTGTAGGCCACATGCATGGCCACCAGCAGGGCAGGGGTGGACACAAAGATGAGCTGCAGGCACCAGAGGCGGATGTGAGACACGGGGAAGAAGTGGTCGTAGCAGACGTTTTTGCAGCCGGGCTGCTGCGTGTTGCAGGTGAAGTCCGACTGCTCGTCCCCCCAGACGCTCTCAGCAGCCAGAACCAGGATCGTGATGCGGAAGATGAAAAGGACGGAGAGCCAAATCTTTCCCAGACTGGTGGAGTGTTTGTTGACGCCGCCCAGCTGGGCGTACAGCACCCCCCAACTCATTGTGAAGGAGAGGACTCGGGATGATCAGACAACCTTTAGGAGGAAGGAACCAGCAGGTTAGCAGTGAAGAAACACAACTTCAGGGCACTGATGAAGTACATTTGAGAGTCTACCTTTATCGCACATTTATCTTTAAGGTTAAAAGTTGTAACTGTTGATGGCTTCTTGTTGTATTAACTTTTCAAAAATGTTAACGTTTGGAAATAAAGTTATTTTAGTTTTTTTTCCAAGGCACAAAACATCTTTTCAAGGAGCTATTTCATAGACATTTAAAAATTCAAAACACAACCTTTGGATGTTTTTGCCACCACACATTGGTCATTATCTCAGCTTTATTTTACCATGAATAAACAGTCACCATGCTTTTAACATTTCATGATGAAATACCCGTTTGAATATTCATTATTTGTCAGAAGAGTGCCTTGGACCTTTTTTCTCATTTAAACTTGTGTGTTCCCAACCAAGGAAAGCAAGTTGATCGCACTTTTTTTGAACTTCTAAAAACTCCAGACCATGTATTTATTGAACTATTTTTTAGGGGGCAAACAATACATGACATAGATCAAGAGTGGGTCTTAAAATAGCTTTCCAGGACATCCGGGAGATTTATTTATTTTTGTTTCATGCACACAAAGTGCTTTTCCCTTTACAAGAAACCAAACATACAGTTACAGAGGTCGGCATTTTTCATTACATAACAACATCTACAGCTAATGAATGAACACAATATATAAATAAGTATCCACTACTAATTGTACTTTATTGTTATTTTTAAATATTGATAGTTCAGAAAAGATACTGAACTGGGACCTGCTTTCAAAAGGCACATCACTCTTCTCCATTAGACTGTATGTAAACGTATACGTTAATGTATAGAAGCAGTAAGACATCTTAGAGTGAAAACAAACCTGTCTTTTTCCCTTATCTGGGAAAACAAGCCTATAATCTTACTTTTCATCTTTTCTCTTGCTTTCCTTAAAAGCAATGTGAGAATAATCAATATATCAACTGTTACTATGTGTTTTATTAGGTAATTTGTATATGTTACGCAAGGATGTTGTCTGGCTACGTAACTAGAGGGTTCTTCTCCCGGTCAACCAATGAGAGAGTACTTTATGAAATCGACAGAGATATGTTGTTAACTTATAAGGGTTGGTGATTGATGTGTCGGGGGGCAGGTTTCTTCTGCCTGGGGCTCCCAGAGTGTCTTGCAGATTTTTTTCGGCTTCTCCTTCCTCAAATTATAGAAACCCATCAGCAATCAATCTTTTTGCATATTAGTTATTATTGCAAAGATGCCAAGATTTTATTATTAAAATAAAATATTGGATTTCTCTGTGATACGATTAATGGTAATTTGCTAACTAGGGGCTAATAGACAATGTTTAAAAAGTGTTTTAATTACTTGACATGTGCCTGCTTGTAAATCAGACAGAAATGATACTACATAACATTTATTTAATGATTATTTTATCCAATATTATAAGTAAAGCCAATTGCTGAGGTTGTTGGAACTTGGCAGGCATATAAACTCGAAATTATATGCAAGGAGTTCACACATCTGAACATGATAACAGCGGGAACTCACCTGTCTTTGTGGAGATTATCCACCCAAAAATCAATCAATGACTTTCTATTGAGACCAAAACAATTAATCCTTATTATTTTGTGAAATGTTCCCCGCGCTCCTCCGGAGGGTAGCTCGTGCGTCTTACAGCTGAGTGTGAGACGCACCTGAGTCTCGAGAGGCTTTTCATTCTGAGGGAGGGGGCGGGGCCTCTGAGGGAGGGCCCACACACACTCATTCCTAACTTCTGCTTTTCTGTGTGTGTGTGTGTGTGTGTGTGTGTGTGTGTGTGTGTGTGTGTGTGTGTGTGTGTGTGTGTGTGTGTGTGTGTGTGTGTGTGTGTGTGTGTGTGTGTGTGTGTGTGTGTGTGTGTGTGTGCATGATGACGAAAGAGATGTATAATAAACAGATGTGAATTGTCATAAGAAAATTAGTCATTTAATTGGGTTGAATCTAATTGTTGGAGCCGATGAGCTGCAGGTGTGTTATTGTGATGGAAGAGGCACTAAGGTTTATTTATAGGTACAAAGCATGAGCATCAAAACAAACTTGAGTAAAATTACTATCCATTTCAGAATATTTTACCATTTATAATTACAATTTACAAACCTCAGATTTATACTAAACTCATGTAGTTTACACCATATAAATTGTATCTTGTAAACGTGTTTATATCTTTCATTATCAACTTTTTTAAACACAATATTTAATTAGTATATTTACACATTCATATATATAAACATTTGATCCAACATCCAATTTTAAAAAAACTTAAAATACACCATTTATATTGTATATTTTTGGTATACCCTTTCAAACTAAATAATTATATGTACAAATATACTAATATTGTAATGTTTATATACTGTGTTGAACCTATAAACAACGCAATATTGTGTTAATGTACACATTGACTTATATATATATATTATATACAGTATATATACATTAGATCAAACCTCTGTTTGTTGGCCTACTGTATTACTGTATATATACACAGTATAACTCACTAACTTATTTAATTCAACCTCTATTTTAATATATCTATACTGTTGTATTGTATATATAAACATGCTTTTATTTTTGATATTCAACCTTTTTCAAACACAATATTAAATATATGTAGACTATGTAGGGTTCGGCGTGTGGTGCAGTGGACTAGTGGGTTAGTGTTCGGATCAGGGGAGCACAGGTTCAAACCCCACTGCAGTCAGCATGTCCTTGTGTTGACACTTCACCCCAAATTGCTCCTGTGGGAATTGTCCACAGTACTGAGTATGTAAGTCGCTTTGGATAAAAGCGTCTAACAAGTAACATGTTATGTATTGTATAGGCATAATAATTCCTGTCACCTGTACACCACATCTGGCACCATCCATTATTAAATATACTGTATAAAATGTTTATATATGATTTGTTTTCTAACATTTGACAGATGTAGTGCGCACAGTAAGATCATGTGATGGTCGGATCTCACTGTGAAATGAAATCTGCAACATGAGCAGAGCAGAGAAGTCACAGTGAGGAAAACTCGTGTTTCCATTCAACTTTTCCTGGGATCAGGAGCGTTAATGAAGCGCACATCATCCATTGGTTCTGGTGGAGGGAACAGAGACCACTGCAGGATTTCATTTCATAGTTTTATTATTTTATGTGAATAGGCTCCAACATGTTGTGTTAAGTCACTATAAAACGATTACGTAAACTAAGTATTTCATTGTTTTTATCAGTCATGATTTCACATGATCATTATGTGGTGAGAGGATTTCAATTCCAGTCCCTAATAACCACAATGTTAGTCTTAATATCATGCAGACACAAATATTAAATGTACTGGTAGATTTGGAAAAAACTTGATCCCTGCTTCGCTAATGGGTAGATTTCTTTATTAGAATACTGGAAGTTGTGTCCGTTATTATCCATAAAAGGCACATGTATTCATTATCACTTAACAAATACCAGACTGTTTTCAAAGATATCTTTTTGTGAGATGTCTGTCAGCTTGATTCTTATCTTTTTAACAAATGTCACAGTTATTTTTCTGGTTTTTGGGCCCTTCATCTCAGTGGTCCTTCTTCAGTTTGGCCAGAGCCATGAGCAGCTGGTCCCTCCGCTCAATCCGGGCCGACAGATGCTGCGGGTCGTTGGGAACCAGCTCACACATCTCCTGTGGACAGAAAGGAGGCAAACGTGTGAGAAAAAAACAATTGTAGAACACTTTAAGGTAGGGCTGCAACTAAAACAAATCATTTTCATTATTGATTCATCTAATGATAGTTGGTTTCGTCTATGAAAGGTCAGAAAATGGCCACAGACCCAACATGACATCTTAACATTTCTTGTTTTGATAGTAGTCCACTTCCATGTTTAGATATATTGGTATTCCCACCTCATGCGAACCAAGTATGAACCATGAGAAAAACCAGCTTTTCAAGTAGACCGTGCCCTGGTATGACACAGTGTTTACATTAATGAAATGAACTGGACTTTCGGGTCAAGTGTCCTTCGCCTGTGTAAACCTCCTCCCACTTGCAGTTTGTGCAGAATGCTGCAGCTTCTCTTTAAGGAACAAACATGAAGAGGCACATTTCCCCCGTACTGGCCTACATAGCTTTAAGGTTTAAGGTTTGATTCTTAGACCTTTTTTTTGTGCCTACTAATCATCACATAAGATGTCTCTCTGGCCTTTTACAATCACACTCCCAATCTAATATGTGTATACACATTCAAACATATTTATTTTACTTAAACCGATATATTCCTGTACTTCGAATGCTCTATAATTTGAAAATACACAACCGGAAAAAATCTGCCCCTTCCTTCAGACTTCCTTACAGAGCCCCTCCTCCAACACACACGAACGCGCACATGACTAATGAGGGCACGAGATAAGTTTGTGCACAGATGGCAGGCTGACAGGCAGGTAGGCCATCCAGTTATTTTAGCCGGGCCGGCTCAGATGACTGGACTTGCTTTTTACAGCGCCACGGCTTCCAGAGATGAATTTCTTTTATGTATTTATTGTCAAAGCATTTAATATATTCATTGCTATCGGGATGTTAAGAGCATTCCATGAAAAATACAAAAAAGCTCTACTCATCTCATTGTACCTCTATAGAAACAATAAAGGTTTCTATTCTATTCTATTCTAGGTCAATCAGGTCAGGTGTGCAGTGTCTAAAGATCCACAAAGGTAACATATCTGTCTTGACAACAGTGCGTGGAGAAAATGAGGGATAAGCCCTTAAAACTGTTATGAGAAAAAAAATAAGCATGGCATGATGAAGAGACGTGACAATTATTTTAGCTGCAGGCCAGTGAGCAAAAAACAAAAACAAATCCACCACTGTTTCTAAATGTTATTTCACTCTTTTCCCATGATCTGTTGAGGTTTCACAGATTTTTGAAGTTGAGGTTACAGGCAAGATTTCAAGTGGATGAACAACAGAGAAATCCTGCGGTGGTTTCAGAAATGTAATGGATGATTTCATACTTTATTATCCTGGGTTTCTGTTTGAGTTTGTTGTGGATCTGACTAAGCTCAGGGTTCATACACTTTTTCACCGATGATTTTCAATGACTTCTCCAGGACCTTTTACCTAATTTTCCATGACCAAAAAATTACTCTTTCTCAGCGGTACCACTGAAAATGTTATTCTACGGACGAAAAGTTTATTATTCCGCCGGTATTTTGGCCTTCTTCTTCTCCCACATTGAACATCGCAGAAACTCCGTTCAAACATCAAAACGTTCAGCTCGGTCGGGAATCGATGGCTATTACTTTTCTCATTCATAACTTTCATAATTCCAGAGATACATCCCATAATTCATCACATTTTTAACATTGAAGTCAATGGAGGAAATCTTCAGACTTCAACAAATCTTCATGCGATTCAACTGCTAACTGTTCATTCATACTTTCACTCAGAAACCTCATTCCAACTTTAAAATGTTACACATCTTTCTGACATTATTCGTGTAAAACAACTTTTAAATCTGATTCTTACTTTTAGAGATATTAAACATTGTTCAGACCTTGTTTTAGAGGTTTTCTTCACATTTTAACATTAACTAGAGTGCGTGATGTCACAGCTAGAGGGTAAAAAATCTTGAAATTTGCCTTCATATATTTTTAAAAAACTGCCATAATTCCCAAACCCTACATCCCTGAGACATCATTTATCATGACAAACGTAGGAAAACATCTAGTAGCTTGAGAAATGACAAATAATTAAGCAAAAATAATTAAACAAAATGCCTCTTGAGGGCATGAAGTCACAAAAACTTTCAACATGCCTCCATTAAAGCCCATTGTAATTTCAAGCTGATATTTCCTCACGGCAGCAGCCGCACACCTTTAGTTAAACTGCCAAAAAGGCCACATTATTAACCCGAAAGTACACAAAAATTACACTTCAGATACTCAACTTCCTTGACATGCTTCACGTTTTGAAATTTCACAGATATCTGTTACGGTTCTTCCACAAAACGTTCACATGTAGGAGGTTTATCTCTCATTCAGAACAATGGAAACCTGTGATCTCTGCACACCTCGTTAGTTCAAATATAAACACCTGTGTAATGGAACACGATGATGTCATCGCTCCAACTGCCATGCTCAGAGCAGCTGACTTCAGATAGCAGTGTGCTAACAGTCCAGCCGTGAAGACATCTACGGGACAGTTTTGAGATTTCTTCAAATGCCGTTGCCATGGCAACACAATGCTCGCCTTGAAACACGGTTTTCAAAAAACTTCAGTGAAAATACTCCAAACAGCCCAAAACTTCACAGGTGTGGTAACGATGCAGCCATCAACGCATCTAAGCGTATTATAGGGTGTCGTCAAATGCTGTTGCCATGGCGACAGATCATTCGCCATCAAGTTAGTTCAGAAGTTTGCAGTTCGAATATTCTGCTGCTTTTCCAAAGCCTTTTTACTTTCTTCTCTCATCACACATCCAAGCCCTCAGTGTTCATGTATCATCTCAATCTAAATTCTTCACTTTCTTCTTACACATTACATTTCAGCATAGCAGTTTAGCGTCAGATTTTCAGCATAAAGCATTCCCACTAGCAATTTCTGCAGGAATTGCATTCTCTAGTTTGAACATGGAACAGGAAAATAAGGTCTGCATATGAAACATGTTGTGCCTA